TAATAATTTGTTACATTTATATAGCGCTTTTCTGGGCACTCAAAGCGCTTTACACAATGGGGGGGGAATCTCCTCATCCACCACCAGTGTGCAGCATCCACCTGGATGACGCGACGGCAGCCATTTTGCGCCAGACCGCACACCACACACCAGCTGATTGGTGTAGAGGAGACAGAGTGATGATATGCCAATCATGATATGGGGAGGGTTAGGAGGCCATGATGGACAGAGGCCAGTGGGCAAATTTGGCCAGGATGCTGGGGTTAAACCCCTACTCTTTTTCGAAGGACATCCTGGGATTTTTAACGACCACAGAGAGTCGGGGCCTCGGTTTAACGTCCCATCCGAAAGACGGAATGTAAATAAAAGAGAAGAAATATATATATTTTTGTCAATGAGACCCTCTTATTATATTTTGGGAGATGTCTGTGTCATTTTCGATCAGAAAAAACAAAACAAAAACTTGCTGGTTAAATAAAAGTCAGAATTTGCTAGGGGTATAAATAATTTCAGGATTGGCTGTATGTAAACTATTTTTCACTATGTATAATGTCTAGGGAGCACCTAAAGAGTGTATATGTTGATAGCATCTTAGTCTTAGAGGTATATAGATACACACAATAGGTCTGATCAAAAAGACAAGAAGTTATTTTTGAACTCCAGTGGTTTAATCAGAGGTATTGAAGCCTTAACAATATTTATGCTAAATTAATTTCAAAGTTAGATCAGTTTTTTTTTTTTGTATTTTTACTCTGATCAATATATCTCTTCATATGCCCTCTAGACATAAGTTCTTAAAATATTGCTGTAGTGTTAACCCTTCATTTTCTCCACTTCATTCTTCTTTATTTGGCTCTTTAAAAAGTCTTAAAATTACCCTCATAAAACCTGCAGAAACCCTATTAAACCAAAAGCACATTTACATTTATTCATTCAGCAGACTCTTTTATCTGAAGTGACTTACAAATGAGGACAAAAGAAGCACTTCATGTCAGCAGAGAGCAGCAATATAGATGCCATGTAGTCTAGCCGCCGACAAGAGCGTCAAAATGCCAATGATGCCTGCATTCACAGCGCTGCCCACGAGAGCATCTATGGCCATGGACACCCTGCCGTTGGCATTCTGACGATCCAATGTTTACATGTTAACTAACGAAATAAACCAATGAAAAGTCATTAGTGCAGTGATGCTTTTCTGTTTATGTTTAAGTGCTTGTCTCAACATGACCAGAGGACATTTAATGGCCTTGATCTTCACGCTTAAGTTAATTTTTGCGCATCACAAACTGGGAAAACCACATAGCAATGAATAACCTCTGCTGTATTTTACTTGAGAACTAACATGGTTGGAACCCAGGTTTATTCTCTATGAAACCCTCTTAAGCGGTAGATTTGTACATTCTGATCATAACTGCGTCATAGCTTATTACTATAAAGTTGACCTGATTTCAACTCTCCTTGACACTCACACCAAAAAGCAAAGCACGCCGCATTGCTTTCACCATACGCTGTAAAAATGATCTGTTAATTAACAGTTTCCATGTTTTGTTATTCACAAGTGTTTTCCATTTTGCATTATAGAACCTTGATCTCTGCTCTGTCGACTTTTTATCTTGAAAATTCAGCTTAACAAAGTGACTTTAACTGACATTTTAGTAGTTTGAAAGAATGTTATGTTTAAGAAATTATATGTAGAAAAATAAGCTTGCAAAATACCAGAAAAATGTATTGGTTGCTTATTACAAAGTTGTTGCACATTAATATACAATCCAGACAGCATATCACTTTAACTATTAAAAATGTTAATAAAAGCCACTTTTTAAAAACTTTTCAAGGTTAAAAGTTGTTGGAAGAAAGATCAAGGTCCTGTAATGCAATTCAAAAGTATGAAAAAACAGAAATATATCTATATATGAATCGCAGAATATGGAAAACTATAAATTTATGGATATTTTTTTTTACAGTGTACAAGAGCTCACATTGTGCTTAAGGCTACTTTGAGGCTCTCGGCACGGAAGGCATGGTATATTCATTCCACATTTACTTCATTAAGTTTTTGTAATGTTAAGTTTGTAGGAAAGTGTCAGGTACATATGAAGTGGAAGATAGATGAGTGGGTTAGTCAACCCATTCATTCACATGTGTAAAGAGCACACAGAATTGCACAATGTAATCCTACAAATATGGAGTTTAATAAGAAAGTGTCTGGTGCACATGAAGCGGAATGATGGACTACGGTTTGTGAATATCAAACCATAAGGGACCATTTAAATATGAGATTTTTTTTTTTTTTTTTTTTTGGCGTCTGTGTGAATCAGTTAGTTAATTACATGCAGTCTGAAGAGCTCCTGATGCCTGTGGTGTTGTCACCTTCTGCTGTCTAGCAACATCATACCCAGGGCCAATCAGAGAATCACATCACTAGTATATTTCTATTGCATGTGAGAAAAGCTGCTGCTAGGCAGTGTACAGATGGAAACACATGGCACAAGTTTATTTTTATTTTCACATTTAAAGTCAGCATGAAATGGAAGTTAAGATAATTTCTTTTCCTTTATTATTTAACTTAAAATGAAAACCAATTAAACTTTTTTAATTTCCCACCTCATATTTCACTTATCAGTAAAGCCAAACAGAATCTGCATACAATTTCTGATATTTCTGAGGGGAATTTGTAAAACAATATGTGGATTTATGTGCAAGGATTTTGGGAGTATCACAACTAAAAACCAAAACACTTTTAATAACTTTTATTTAATGTTTATAATGCAAGTCCAATTAGATCCACTTATTTAGTAAGCAAAGCTGATATAATGTATCTACAAAAAGACAGAAAATATTTATTTACAAACTGTTTTGCAAATAACTCATGAGAACATTTTCATATTAGTCAATAATATTACTGAAATTAATTTAAATACCGAATAAATATAAATTTACACAAGTAAATACATAGGCTCAAGGATGGGTTAAAAATCTGTGAAAATCTGCAGATTTCTGCATGTGCAGATTTTGTGTGGGCCTACTTATCATGCAAGAAAATAGACTCTACACTTATACTTCTCCATGTCACCTTTTGAAAATAAGAAGAGTTTGATTTCATGCCGACTTTAACTTGAGAAAAACTATCAACCTGACTATCAAGTTTAAAGGCTGGTTTAAATTTTGTTCTAAATAAAAGCAACAGCACGCGATAGAAGGAATATTTTGCATATTAAAATGAGCAGTTGAATGAGTAGTTTTTGTACTAACCAACACCTTAAATACTGTATATGTTTTAGAAACGGCTTCTATTTCTTGAACAGCAGAGACAATGATTACCTCAGGAACACCTCATGTGCTTTATTTAGTGTTAAAAGCTAAAAATGTGGGTTTGAATGGCATTTTACATGACATTAAATGCCATACTGAAAGCAGTTGATAGTTTACCTCGGATCTTAAAAATTAAATAAACCATTTTAAATTGAACTTCAAAGGCACAAAACCAACACATATCAGTGATTCGTCATCTAAATTTAATAATGTTAAAGAGGTTTAATATCTATTAATTAGATTATAAACCTTACTATATTGTTGGAATGCAGTAAGTGCCCTATTCTGTGCTTCTGAATGGCTGTATTTAAGTGCTAACAGCCAAACTGCTTATCACTCCAAATCCTGTCACGTGGTTTGTTGTTAGTTGTTCTGTGTTGTAAGGGGTTTAAATGTAACCTCCTCGTATATAAGAATGCGTAAAATGTTTACGTTCATGATATTTATATTATTTGCATATCATCTTATTGCTACTGTTCACTGGAGTCACATTTTGGTCACGAAAGCATGCTTTGAGAGCCTTTCTGAATAAATGAATGTAATACAGTTTTCCATCAAGGCAACTCGGGGTGCTGAAATACAATTGGCTAAACTGGCAGTGGGTGAATTAAAACAACCAAAACAAAAACAGCATATAATGCATCAATATAAATATAAATATTTCCCAAATTGTCTTTAATAGAGCAAGGAAATGTTCACAGTATGTCTAATAATATTGTCTCTTCTGGAGAAAGTCCTTTTTGTTTTATTTCGGATATTTAGAGTAAAAGCAGTTTTACAATTTTTTAAGCCATTTTAAGGTCAAAATTATTAGCTCCTTTAAGTTATATTTTCCCCAGTAGTCTACAGAACAAACAATCGTTATACAATAACTTGCCTAATTACCCTAACCTGCCTAGTTAACCTAACCTAGTTAAGCCTTTAAATGTCACTTTAAGCTGTATGGAAGTGTCTTGAAATATTATTTACTGTCATCATGGCAAAGATAAAATAAATGAATAATAAAATAAATTAGAAATGTATTGAAAAAAAATTCTCTGCGTTAAACAGAAATTGGGAAAAAATAAATAAATAAACAGGGGGGCTAATTCTGACTTCAACTGTATCAGACTTTATAATCTCTGCAAACATATTATGGTATTTTTATACTTTATAAGATTTAAAGAATTACATACTGCACCTCTAATAATTGGGCAAGTCTTTTAGCTTAGCTTTACCAAGTATAATTAACAAGACATACTTAAAAATAATGATTAAAATAAAGTTTCAAAAAATGGATAAAAACAACAACAACAACAACAACTGAATTTAACTTGAGAAAATAAGTGGTTTTGTAGGGTTTGTGATGTTTTAATATTATTAAACTCAATTGATTGTTGTTAAATTAATTAAGTGTTAATTTTGCAAGCTCTTTAAATGTTAACTTTAGTTTTTAATTCATTTGAACTATTGTAAAATAATTAACTACATTTTTTAAATTGAAGTGTTAAAATGTTAATAAAGTTCCCCCTAAAAAAGAGAAAGCCAAAAAAAAAAAAAAAAAAAAAAAACAGTACAACAACATAAAAATAGATTTCATAGGGTAACAACCATAAAAATCATTTGGAGTTTGATATTGTCACTGAAGAAAAGGTAAAGATGGAAATCCACTTTTATTTGACATGACACACACATAAAGGTAGACTCACCTGCAGTGTCTGTGCACCCCTGCCACAGTTTCAATGATGAAGCACTCGCCCTCATTCAAACAGAAGGCCATCTCCTGACTGTCCTGGCAGGGCTTGAAGAACTCCGAACGCACCGTGGAGGTTGTGGGAGCAACTGTGTGTGAAAGAGACAGGAGGAGGGTGCAAAAAAAGAGGAAGGGGGACAGAAAGAGATTAATCAAGATTACATCAGTTTAATCAAATGAATCAAACACTAATAATCCATCCATTTCCATAACGTCCATTCCGATGATAAAATTACATCTGAGTGATTTCTCAATATTATGACATGAATGCTGTTAATTGAATCACACGTTCAAGTATGATGGTTTCACAACCACTTCACTGATTACAAATGAGCCCATGTGAGGATGGAGAATATGTTCTAGAGTCTATTATGGAGCTTATATAGGGTATGGGGGTTTAATGACACAGGCTATCAGAGATAATAAAGCTCATTTAATAAGCTGTAACTGGGATTTTTCACCATTTTTAATATTTTGTGATGTCGCTGTAGCTGCATCAGTTCAAGCTGCAGTGTGAATCAAGTTCAACAATTTAATTCTTCTGCTTTCTTTTCAACTAGTCAAAGTGCAAATTATACAATAAGAAATGTATAATACAGTTGAAGTCGGAATTATTAGCCCCCTTTGAACTTTTTTCTTTTTTAAATAATTCCCAAATGATGCTTAACAGAGCAAGTAAATTTTCACAGTATGTCTGATTTTCTTCTGTAGAAAGTTTTTTTTTGTTTCATTTCAGCTATAATAAAAGCAGTTTTAATAATAAAAAACATTTTAAGGTCAAAATTATTAGCCCTTTTAAGCTATATATATTTTTTTTTGATAAAATGAATCATCATTATTGAATAACTTGCCTAATTACCCTAACTTGTCTAGTCAACCTAATTAGCCTAGTTAAGCCCTTAAATGTCACTTTAAGCTGTATAGAAGTTTTAAAAAAAATATCTAGTCAAATATTATTTACTGTCATCATGACAAAGATAAAAGAAATCAGTTAATAGAAGTGAGTTTTTAAAACTATTTTGTTTAGAAATGTGTTCTGTTCTTTAAACAGAAATTGGAAAAAAATAAACAAAGTGGTTAATAATTTAGGGGGGCTAATAATTCTGACTTCATCTGTATCTCATGTTATAGCCAAATCTGTTTCAAATGCATAAAGAAGACAGTAAAACAATAACATTGCATTTTCTCAAACAAAAATTGACCAGATTTGATTAGTTATCTATCAGAAGTAACTCAAGAGATCAGCATTTTGCTAAATAGATGTGCTGGATTACAAATTGATTATATTTTTTGACAAGGTCAAGTTTATTTATATATTTTATTTGTATTTCCATACAAAATGGTAAGTGATTTAAATAAACTAGTAATAATATAATCAGAAAATAATCAATCTATTTAATAATTCTTCTTTACCTGTTAGAGTTCAACTCTGTTTTATATAATAATCTTTAATAAATCATAAATAAAACTATTTTCAATAAACATTTTCAATAGTCAGTTAACAATTTAAATTAAACTAAACAAACAATGAATAAATAGTCATGTACTTAGAATAGCCAAGAATATTTTTTATATACAGTGCTCAGCATAACTGAGTACACGCCATTTTGAAAATGAATACTTTATCCTATTTTTCAGTGAATATAGGCAATGTATTTTGCTGCATTTAAACAAAACAGATATATTTTTTTAAATAATATTTTATTCACCCAAAAAATTTAAAAATTGAAACATAATACAATTAAATTCAAGCAAAATATTGCAAAATATATTGATTTTTCCTCTTTTTTTAAATTTGTATTTAATATTTTTCTATAACATATAAATTTGGGTGTACTAAATTTTTGACCGTTATCATAGGTAATTTTGTTAGATAAGCTCTAGATTTGACTTCAGTACTGACTAATCTAATGTATTTGCACAAATACAATGTTGGATAGCTTCCTATTAAAAGTATCAATTTAAAAGATAGATTTGTGACGGGTGTACTTATTTATAATTAATTAGCTAAATATGATTTATGCTTAAATGACATTGAGATCCCTTTAAAGAATGGTATTTTAACTACAATGGTTTGAACAGGGTATCCTGGCTACATGATCCCACACATTTAAACCTTTTCCTTAAATACTCAAATCATAACAAACCATAATAAATTCAAGACAATAAAAGCTTCACAAAAAACATTCTCTGGTCATGAGTTAATGTGAAGGCCATTTTCCCTGGAGTGGCAAAGATCTTATCAAAGTCACAATCCAAATGAACAGATATAAGGGAGATTGTGAAATATTACTGTGAAGTTGACAACACTTTACCAATCACACAGAGACATTTAAAATGATACCAAACATGAATATAGAGCTACAAGATGCACCATATTGAAAACAGAAATTCTGTGTAGATTGTGAGTGAGCTGCTCTGGTGGAGAAGGTAAAGTCGAGGGCAGAGAGGGCTCAGGATGGGTGACTGGGACAGTTGAACAACTGCTTTCCTATCTGATCTTTCTTCTCAGATTAAAATGTGTATTGTTTTAGTGCCTGACAATTCTCGTAGTCTTGCTTCGTGGAAATCCATAACAGTTCTCAGGGAATGATATTATGGAGTGCCATGCTTACATCCCCATTTTAAAAGGTCCACATCAACAAAACTATATAGGCAGAAACAACTTCCATCAATGTCCACTCTCTCTCTTCTTTGAATAGTGATTCATTCAGGTCTTTTAAAAAAAAAAAAACCTTGGACAAATCATAAATACACATATGCCTGATTATCGCTAAATATAAGAATCACTTAACGTTATAGTGACCACAATGCGTTGGTGGTTTAATATATTTAATTACTGCCATTTATAAACATAAATAACCTGTCTGATCAAGACTGAATCAGCACGCCGGTCAAGGCTGCATTAGCACCTTCCTGTTGTTCTGCATTCAATGATTCACATAAAGTCCTTCTCAGAAAGCACTGCTGCTTATAAATGACCACCTGCACCTTTAAATCTGGATCAAAACAGGCCAAGTCCAACGAATCTGGTTCTTTTGACCCTTCCTCAGACATGCCTGACTTAAACATGGACATGGCATCTGCTGTGTTGTTAGCAGTCACTCTGAATACACAAGCAAGGCCTGCGGCACCTGGTGCGTGTTTACCATACCACCACCAACCATGCCCACAAGCAGAAAACAATGCACTGAGAGCATGCACACACATAATCTCCCAGACATCTGCCACTAGATGAAATAAAGCAGAGACATTCATAAGCGAGGCGAAGACATCGCTACATCTGTAGTCTGCAGCTGCCAGCAGAAGAGCTAGAGTTGGTGTGAGTCCCGGTCAAAAACGCGGCTGTTCAAATAGCACCTGCAGTAACACTGGAAAGGTCAAATCAATCTGTTGTGCTCATGTATTGATGGATAAATCTGGGGTCGCTGGTGCAGAAGACGATGACGGATTAGAAAGCTGTTGAAACAAGAAAAAGAGAACGAGGATGCTTGCTTCGGTTGAGAAAGCTGCGATGGATGACTTCATTACATAAAGTCACACGTTGGCCAAAGCAACTGGTTTGCACCATAAACAAAACAATATCAGCGCCAAATGCCTTATCTTCACCCTCAGCAACAGACTGAATTTTTCAAATCCTCTTGTTCGAGTGTCCACACAAATGCTGGCTTTTATGACTCGGCATAAATCATCTCAGAGGCATCGATCAAATGGCCATTGATCTGCACATTTTGTTGTTAAAACGGAGGATTCTGTTGGGGAGATTATTAGTCTCATTTTTCTCAAGAGTGGCATTTCCAACCTGACTGGTATACTGCTGCTGACCGGCTAGTCGATTGGCAATCAGCAGTGTTTACTGTGTGACCCAGGGCTACTTATGGACTGATCTCTCGCCACAGCAGCTCTAATATAGGTGCTCATAAAACCTGCCATATCGAGCCCATCCGCAGGCGAGGACCACCGGAACATGCAATAATCATTGCAGGACTGTATTAAAAGAGAGAGAATTCCTGTATAATAAACACACAATCTCTCAAGAGGGGTGGCGGAAGTGTTCAGCGAATTAATGAACGTAGCAATCGATGCTCTGGGATTCAGAAGAGCTATTAGCAATCAGCTTCATTTTAGGAGTGATCATTGATGAGCTGATTCAATCAAAGGTAGCGAACGCCTGCAGAGACAGCACCGAGGCATGGCACCCACAATGTCCGCTTTATTCTTTTTGCTTTCTATTGACAGGTTATTGAAACAGAACGGAAACCGAGAACATGCAGGCGACGACCCCCACTATTCGGTCTAATTAAGTCTGCAGGGAGGTAATGATTTCCTCTACACACTACGGGCTTTGCTGTAAAAGCACACGTTTAGAAACGTGATGAAATCTAAAGGTGGAAGCGTGGAAATGAATACAGATGACTGTGCAGATTTCATTCTTGGAGTGTGTCGCCACCAGTGGAGTCCGTCAGAGGAAAAGCGGCCGCATTCACACTGCGCACCTGCGCTGCGGGACTCGAGAGCGCTCTCTGTACATCAGACGCTGAGCTTCCATGGGCGCCTAGCTCATGCATGACATGATAATTGCTCAGCTTCTGCTTATTTAGTGATAAATCCTCCCCTCTTGTTATTCCTCAAATGGTTTGTCATAACATTTGATTCATCCCGGTTGCTTTAAAATTAGCTTTTTTTTTTTTTTCCTTGAAGGCAATCTACACAAGTAAGCCCCTTGATAAGTTCCATGAAATAGTCTTACAGCAGTTTAAATTGAATCACAAATCCTGAGGGTTATTCATCTTGAGTAGAGGATGTATGATGAGGTAAAGGACAGCTCTGGCTGAACCTCCTTTTACTTTCGCAACTGTCTTAATTCTTTGTGGCATAGATTTAACAGCATGTTGAAAACATCCCTTGGGAATCTTGGTAGCATTATACACTCTCAGAAATAGAAGTACACAAGCTGTCAGTGGGGCAGACCCCTTTTCAAAAGGTATACTTTTGTACCTTTAAGGTACCACAAGGTACACTTTGTACTTTTTAGGTGCTGATATGTACTTTGACAGTACAGATGTGTGCCATTAGGGTACCAATGGTG